CCCTAAGTCAATCACTTGTCTTCTCTGAGTCAAGAAACACGTTTTTTAAACTTTTTTTCAAAAACAAGTAACTGCTCATGGCTCTTTGAGTCTAGACATAAGTGAGTCCAAATAGTGGAGTGGATAGTTTTTCTCAAATTTGTAGCCAGTCTTTGGAAGTGGTTTCCGTGTTCATTTTAAACACAAGGTGAATTGGGTCCTAGTGGGGGAAGGCATCTTTCTTCATTTCCTTTTCAGATTTGGAAAAGAATTTTTATGAAGGACGAAATTATGTTCATCAATAACATCGAATCACCCACCTAGCTCCTGGAGCTTAATTTCTGTTTTTGATTCGGTTGTTTTCCAATTTCATTATGTCCAAGTGATTCCAGCATGCAGAAGAACTTTTAGAAGAAAGAATCCTCACTCAGCCCACTGGGGGCATCACCAGTTCATCGGAAATAACTGCTTTCATTTATGGAGCCTTAGGATGGACATGAGTTTAGGAATTTAGCTTTTTAGCTGGTGAGGAAAAAATATACACTTGATAGTTGGATTTCGCCATATCGCCTCACGCTCCCTAGGAACCTGCAGCACCTGCCCGCTCTCCCCGTGTTCCCGCCCCCACTTCTCAGTGCCGTGGTTTCTGTTAGCCAAGGCACGGTCGTGAGGCTCTTCTGCTGCAGTTAGCTCAATGCTTAGAAAGTTTATTTTTCCTTGTCATAAAAAATGTAAATTGTTTTCAGTCAAGAAAGTAATAGTTAGGACCTTGATTTTATTAAACACATTATATATTATTATTATAAAACACATTATTATTAGTATATATTATTTTATAAAACACAGTGAAGTTTTTCCTGAACTAGAAAGTTTGTTGTAAGTTCCAGCAATTATTTTAACATTTGCAATAAATCATATAAAGTGCATCTACATGCATGAGAACTTTTGGCCAATTCTAGCTCTTGATCAATTTAATTTTCTAAGCAAGACACCATGGACCTGGAGATTGTTTTTAATGTTTTAACTAGACAACTCATTAATGAGTCTGTTCTGTCAAATGGCCACCTTAGAAGCTTTGTTCTCCCTTTCTCTTCTTCCTTGTCTCTCTGTTAACCTATCTGAGTAAAAAGAAATGCCATGAGGTTGGGACTGTTCTCTCTCAACAACACAAAGTCTTAAGAGCACTTGTAGGTTCTGTAACAAATTTGTTAGGAGTATCATCTCTCAAAGACTGAATCATAGTAAACCCTTCAAAAATGGCCTTAGTTGGAACCAGCACATGATATAATGGTTAAGGTGCTGGACTCCCACATGATTCACTGTGGTTTGAGTCCCAGACCTGGTGGCTTGAAAATCATTCTGGGCATGTGTACATGTATGCCCAAAATCCCAGAAGGAGAGTGGGTTGTGGCATGGCCATCCTCCTGGGGGTTGATTTCTCACTTTCCCTCTCACTATCTCTCTGTCTTTCTCTCTCCAGAAAGTGCATGTGCCCATGGCAATAAAAGTAAAAATATAAACAAATAAATAAAAATTGTAAATGGCCTCAGTTAACAAAGCTGTTTGAAGTGTCACTGTTGTATCAGGTCCTGAACCCACGGCTGGGTATACGAACCACCTGGACAAAGATCTATGTCCTCATGGGGCTGACTCGGGTTGAGGTGGATACACGGGGAGTGCCAACGCCCTCAGGATAACTGGACCTGAAGTGGGGCCTGCCAGCCAGCCTGGAAGGGGAGACCAGTGTTCTTATTTCTTTCCCCGGGGTTGGAAGAACATGGCAAGCTGACCGTGTGACACCCATGTCCTGACAGGAGAGGGAGCTGAGGGGGTAGGGAGCAGGCAAAAGAGAGGACCCTTCATAGCCAAAGTCCAGAGGGGGTCTTTTGACACCGCAGGGCCAGGCGCCCATGGTAGGGTCATAGGGTCAAGGGTTATTGAGGGTTTTGTTTGTTGCACAAACAAGAAGGAAGGAAATGAAGGTAGGAAGAAGGGAGGGAAAGGAAAGGAAAGCGAAGGAAAACATCCTATGTTCTTTCTTCAGGATGCCACTTACTTTTACATCCATTTCTGCATCACTTTTACCGTGCTAAAATGATACTATTTTATGAGATGCTGTCCGTGCCTGTGTGGGCTTGACGTTAGTCATCCGGTGGGCCACCCTGCACACCTGGCGTCCTACGTTCAGTCGGCATCTCTGCACCCCTCCGTTTCCTCGCGGGCAGTCTCTCTACCTAACGTCAGACATCTCCCTACAGACTTTCACAATTTACTCTGATTGATAAGTGTACTTAGCTGGCAGAAATAAGTAAGCATTTATGTTTCTGTTCCCTTCATTGAAGTTCTTCATCTTTCTCGTTAATGAGTTGGTGATAGGATTCTAATGTATTTTTCAAAGTATTTTTTAATTAGCTTCTTTCTCATTATACCTTGTACATTGTTAAAGCTTTTTAAGAGTAAGTTTTTCTTTTTTTGTTAAAGAATGTGTACAATGGAAAAGCTTCAACCTCAAAGGCATTTAAGAAGATTTCTTACTCAGGCAAAAGTCATTATTAGGGTCACGAATGAGCTGTATTGTTCTCTTATTTGCAGAAAGTATCCATTGTTTGAAGCACTAGGATTGCCAGTGGCATCCAAGACCACCTCTGACACGACAGGCTAAGGCCACGTGATTCTGTATGAAAGCCTGGAGCAGGTGCCAATACCAGGAAGATGCTTGCTGCGTAGTAGTTGCCAAAGTAAAAGCCACAGCTGAATGCTGCCTGGCTCTGGCTGGCCTGATCCGGCTTTGCTGGCCAAAGCGTTGGAGCTTTGGGTCTAATCTGGGAATGTCTAGGGAGAAAAACAGGTTCTCCTGGCTCAGAGCAGGAGCCTTCTGCCACAGGAAGAATTCATAGCAGCATCTCCGACAGTCTGAGAAATCCCGAACAATAAATGCCAGGAAAATGGGCCAGGAGTTAAAGGAAGGAGAGGGTGTTACTGGGTCATGTTCTCTCCCTTCTCTTCAGGAAAGTGCGAGATGCCACCGGAGTTGACATCAACATGCGTGTGGGCGTGCACTCTGGGAATGTACTGTGCGGTGTGATTGGTCTGCAGAAGTGGCAGTATGATGTGTGGTCACATGACGTGACCCTGGCCAACCACATGGAAGCTGGAGGGGTCCCCGGGTAAGGCCCATCACACGGTTTCTCCTTGGACCGGGCAGCAGTTAGGCACGCGAGGTCGGCAGGCTGGCCACCCCTGCACTTTCAGTTATTGCTGTCACCTCTGTCCGTATATGTCACCTGTGTCCAGAGCCCTCTTACATTCATCAGAGAATTGTGGACATTCAAGCTTGGATGCAGCCACCCCATGACCCATAGTCAAAAGTTGGGGACATCAGGTCCTAAATTATAGCTTTGTATTGTTGGCAAATTCATGGCTAGGGACCAGAGTTAAAGATGTTTGTAAAGCAGTCCAGGTAGGGCATGTCTCTAGTATCGTGACCTCGAAACTCCTCCTGTTAAAGCGAACAACTGTAAGTCCATCTCTGAGCGTGTTTCAGACAGAAGAGTCTCGAAGCAAAGGCTGAGAGCAAGTGGTTAGCATGACAACCACTTTCATGTAGATCAGAAAGGCTCCAGAAATGCCCCTGCCATGCGCTTCGAAGGATGTCCTCACACACAGGGCGTCGTTGGTCAAGCGTTACTTGCTAGCGTTCACCACTCCCACCGTGCAGGTTTCTGTGGTGCAGGGATGCCCCCAGTATGAGCAGCTTATGAACTCGGAGAGCAACTTTCTATGATGACTGTTATTTTTATACATTCTTTCCAGAGCAGTGATTAATGCAATATAAATTCCAGTTTTCCTGCCCATTTACCCTTATTTGTCTTGATGTGCTTTTGAAATGAAATTTCAGACGTGTTCACATTTCTTCAGTCACCCTGGAACACTTGAATGGAGCTTACAAAGTCGAGGAGGGAGATGGTGACATCAGGGATCCATACTTAAAACAGCACCTGGTGAAAACTTACTTCGTAATCAATCCCAAGGTCAGTACTGCTGTGAAGAGTCTGATGAGCCCTCTGTGTCTGTGAGTAAAAGGGGAGAGGGGTGTATCTCTGATACAGATGCAGGTTTTAGTTTAGGATCAGTGCAGCTCTTTGTTAGTCTTTGTCTCTAACATGACCTCGAACACATACAGTGGCTTGATTATTGAACACATTTTTGAATCATGAATTCCTATCTTTCTTAAAGCAGTAGTTGAAATACATTGCTTGTCAGCATAAGGCTGTTGATGCAGGTTGCTGGTTTGGGTTGTTGTACGTGGTAGTCAGTGTTAATTGGTTTGTATGTTAGCAGATGCATACAAAAGGGGATTTCAAAAAGTTCACACAAAAAAACATAGAATGAAAATATGAGTTTATGGGCTGGCAGGTGGCATGGTGGCTGATGTGCTGGACTCCCACATAGCCGACCATAGTTTGAGTCCCGGACCTGGCAACTTGCTTTCTGACTTTCCCCTCTCTCTGTCAGTCTCTCTGGTCAAATTAAAAATAATAATCCTTTCCCCTCTCTCAGTCTCTCTGGTCAAATTAAAAATAATAATAATAATAAAGTAAGTTAATAATTATTTTAAACATATGAGTTTATTTTAGTGCAAAAAAGTTTTTGAAATGCATGCATTTTTTTATAATGTGCATTTTTTTGTGAACTTTTTGAAGACCCACTGTATGTTAGTCGATGCTTCTTCAGAAAGGCTCTCACTGGAGATAAAAACCTAATAGATAAAATAGAATGACTATGTGAGAATGGGGAAAGAAGACTAGCAAACCAGTATCACAGCGCATTTCTCTGTGTGTGTGTGTGTGTGTGTGTGTGTGTGTGTGTGTGCAGATATGTAACT